CAAAATATCTTCATCTTTAGGGTTCATGATTTTGGTTTTTCAGAAATTCTATAGATACTAAATTAATGTATCTTCAGACATACCCATTAGCAGAGTGATAAGAAACAATTAAAAAAACCCACTGACAATGAACAAGGGGAACAGAATTGATACAAACAGCTACAAACCAAATTTGCCCTACATTTCAAATTGTTTGCTTCAGGTATGATAGGGTTTTTTGTACTTAACAGACAACAGTTTGTGTTAGTTTTTTTTGTCACAGCTTTATGTGAAGTTGGTTTTAAAAATAACCGCCCCATATTCGCATACTGCAAAAAAAAAAAAAAAAAGGCATAAAGCGATTTGGCTTTAGTATCATAGCGTGCTAAGTTCTGATAAGATATCTGCTGAAAATTCAGAGCATTGTAGGTAGATGCATACTGTGTCGTGATGTCACAGTAACTGAGGGTAAGACCGCACCATTCTTTCTGATTTACCTTCTTCACAACTCCTACTACAATCTGAGGTCATCTCAATTATTTTGGGTTAGTTGCTTATACTGTCCCCTTCACTGCACTGTAAATTCCATGACAGTCATGGCCTGATGTCCTCTTCTGTGCCATATATGCTACTGATGACAAAGCACTCATGTGCCCCTAAGTTATCTTAGTGAATGTCTCTATGCTCTCTAATATATTGTTAAAATAGTTTATACTTTGTATGAGATTTTTCTTGGTTTTATACTAAATGCACCACAAGAAGCTGAGATTTGTCTTTCCTTTGTTAGGACAGTGTCTTAAAAGCAGTACTTTATATTGCTATAAGTTCAGCGCCTGGACTAGCATCTAAAGTGAAACACCACTTTAATAAATTTTGTTGAATAAATGAAAGAATAATCACGAATGGCAGGGAGGAGATACTCAACAGATAGCACTGTTCAGATAAACATAGGAAAATAAAGTTTAAAAACAAGGATGACATTCTTGTTGGCAGGTTTTGCCCTTTTTTTACTCAATTAAGAAGGGGTTGACTAGGTATAATTCTTGTTAGGACAAAATCCTGTAAGTGGAATAGATAAGAGAAATTCGATCACTTCAAGCCTTTCCATTTAGTGTCTAGAATGAGCTGACGGTTCAGTTTTTGAAGTGAGTGGCCTATGATCTCAAGAGGAACCAACCTAGCTATTTTTGTTTAAAGACCAGAAGGACTGAAGAAGTTAGTAGACAACTAAGGGTCAGGGACTGATTTCTGGGTTTTTTCCAATCCAGACAGATGAGATACACTTAATCAAGGGTTATTTCTCTTTAGCACCTGGAAAACATCTGCCAGCCCTCAGGAAGGTGGCCTGGGGCTGGCAGCAAGGTGTTTGTCTTTGAAGACAACAGCACCGAGTTTTGGCTGCAGGAGCCACGTGAGAGCCATTTCTGCAGGACAGTGTCATAAAGGGTACAAAGTCCAAGGAAGTCCAGCACCTCATTGAATCATGTGAGCTCCTTAGCTTGCAGAAGTGTGCATCCAGCAGGACACTGGGAAGCCACCACCAGGGGCAGGCTCTTGAGCATCACAATTTTTTTCCCCACAATTACCCATGATGACACATAAACCATACAAAAGATAGCCCAAAGTCAGCAAAACATAATAACACTGGAATTAGAGAACACAAAATGCAGAGAGGTATGAATGAAAGCTCCCTTGTAGCTTTTTAAATCAGATGGAAGTAGGTTCAATTAAAAAGAAAGCTGAACTGTACTACTCTGTGTCCTCAACATGCACAGACCAGCTCGTATCAGAAATGTACAAAGTTTTAGAAGTAAGAACAAGGGCCTGTTCACACATTCACATTGATGGCCGCTGGCTTGGTGAGGAGTGGGAAGGGTATGGTTGTCGCTTAGTCCTTATCCAGATGTCAGTGTGCAGGGTGTGACTGTGGTGTCTACATCCAAGCCCCATCTTTGGGAGAACGTCATAGGAACACAGACAATTGGAAAGATAATACATATTTAAATCACATCTAACTCCAAGAGAACGTGAGAGCAATCAATCTTTTTTAAATAAGAAAGAAACTAAGTCAATAGCATGTGAACAACAGATGAGAATTAAAGCACAATCTGTTGGAGTGGTAACAGCTTTTGTGTTCTTTGTTGTTGAAAATGTACATGAAGCAGCAAGTCCAATATGCTCACAACTCAGTTGCAGTACACTAGGAAAGCAGTTGCTATTTTTATACAAAAGATAAAACCAAACACCACCTTTCAGTTCTTGCTTTTGCTAAACCAGAAGAAGGAAAGGTTCTTGCTTTCCAAGGTTCTAGATGTCAAAATGATTTAGCACCTGTGACCTCTTCTATATGAAAATAAAGAGGACACTGGACAAAAAGGGTAAAAACTGGCACTGAATTACAGACAATCAAACAGGAACCTGCTGAATCTAATTACTCAAAATAAAATATAAAGTAAATGAATAAAAATATATAAAGTAAAGGCGCAATTTAGTCATATTGTAGGATATGGGTTATTTGAATCTCTAACAATTTTTACATGTATACATACATTCTAGTTAAATTATTTCTATAGTTTTCTTCCTTTAATACCTTTAGGATAAACTTTTCCTTATAAATTACATTGATATTTATTAGAAAAGTGATAAAATTATGATAACTATATTTGTTTCCCATTTGTGCTACAATAAATTGTCTACTGGGAATTTGTCCCACTGGCATTTACTAAGCTGTATGGCATGTTAAGTAAAAGGGAAGCCACTGTTTTGGACTGAGCCCTTACACTAGGTCAAAACAGGCCAGACCAAAATGGGAATGGATTTTCTCTTGCTGCCTACCCCATGAGCAAGGCAAACTAGCTTTCCCCAAACAGCTGCTTTTCATCAATCCCTTTAGAAGAAACATCCAGTCACCCCACACCAGCCTGGTCATGAAGTCCTGTCTGCTTTGACCCTATAAGGCAGGTAACTTTCAGTTTTACTTTTTGCTTCTTGTGTTTGCTTTTCTCAGCCCTTTCCTGCCTGTAAAAGCCTGCATCCTTTGCTTAGCTCATCTGAGCACCTTTCTATCCTGTAGGTGGGATGCTACCAATTCATGAATCAGGAATAAAAGGCAGTTTGATTTTTAAAACCAAATTTGTTCTTTGATAGTCAGAGGATAGAGTACTAGGATATCAAGCCTGCTTGAGTCCCTTCTCCTTGGCCCAGGTGACAGCAGGATAACATATTCAGGGGTAAAGATGCAGTACCTCAGATTGGGAGCAGAAAGATACTGGCATGTTACGCTCTGAGCACAGAATGGGAAGGGGCAGAGCTGTGTCCGCTGTTTGTGTCCCCAAATCACACTGCAGTTTATAAGATCCTGACATGTGCCCAAAAGAATGAAATGTTCCTTTTTCTGAGAAAATCTCAGCTGGAGATCCAAAACCAAGAACAACTGGCATCATAGACCACCCAGCATTTGAAAGAGAGGTATCTTCTAAGTGTGCCACAAGGAGTAGCTAGCCTGGCCACTATCTGTCACAGCCCACCTCTCATGTCAGTCCATGGAAGAGAAGTAAAAAAATTAGCTGACTGAATAGAAAATGACAGCAGACTGCCATCTTCCTTTCTGCAGTTGCCCTTGGGATTTGTAACCACTTACTGACCCCCTCCGTCTCCAAGCAGGAGCATGTTCTTGGGAGCTTGAGGTCTGGGCCCAAGGTAGAGAGGCCCCAAACTAGAGTACAGCTTGTTCTGGAGAAGCCTGGAGATGGTAGGCAGGCTGGAACATCCCTGTGGTAGGGTGAGGGGAAGGAATAGGAACGGTAATCTCTTGTTCTGTTAGTTGCAGAGTTAGAAACTGGAGATTTCAGTGAACAGGTACCAGTAGCTGATATTCTGAGGACATTTCAAGCTGTTCATCCCCATGACGCCTACACTGGTGTCAGGAGACCCCAGAGTATGCTGTCTGAAGTCAGAGGTTAAGGGTAAGAGGAAAACAGTGGGGAAATGAATTTCCTTTATTAACACTGTGATAGTAAAGTTTTTCCTCAACCATCCACAAAAGTGGTTCATGACAAGCTCTGTGACTTGTTACACCAGATTCACCATTTAAGTAAAACTCTCCCCATGTACTGCCACCCTTGTTCTTCTCCCTCCTCTGGTTTCAGAGACTGAGAAGTAGATGGCAGTATCCTTGTCCTACTGCACTACAGGGTACAGGACACCCTTTGGGCTAGAGGTCCAAGAAATGGGGAGGACTGGCTGTTGGAGTCCCTGACAAAAACAAGGTTTTATTACCCAAAGTGACCAGAAACCTGAGATTTCAGGACAGGGAGAAGACTGCCTCAAATGAGCATTTCTCAAGATAGCTATGGAAGGAGAAATACAGCACTTCCCTGACTTTCTTGCTACATCTGCCTGGCCCAGGAAGCAGCAGAAGCTGGTTCTTACCTCACATCTGCTCTGGCTTGCTAGGGCAGGAATGTGGGCCTCACATTCAAAGTGAGAAAACGGAGGCTTAGGGAAGTTGAACAACATGTGGGAAGCCCCATAGCCCCTGGGGGAGGCTCCTGGATTCAGAGCAGAGTCATGTGGACCCAAACCCAGCCACATCCACTGCATCACAGTGCCTCTGCCGTTGACTGGCCACCCGTACACTGCAGTCCCAGTGGAAGGAGATTTATTTGCTTCTCTGTTCAGGGAGGTCTACAGGGAATGGCTGAGCCTTCCTGGCTTCACCAGAGCCTTCCCGTGCAGATGGCTACACAGGCAGCACTGCAGGTGGTGGAACTTCCAGCTTGGTCTGCTAAAGAGAGGCCTTTCTTTGACAGCAAACTTATGACAGCTTCGTCTCACGTAAGCTACCCAAGAAGGCTCCTTCTGCCTCTACAGAAGAGGAACATACACCTTCATACTTTCGGGGTTTTTTATGCATTTAGCCAAAAATGAGGGAAAGCATTCACTTGCTTCAGAATGCACATAAAGGGATGACTGGTAAAAGGAGAATCAAAACCAACTTGGCCTTCCAAGCAGGCCCGTACCTCAGCATGGCTCCAAGTCCCTTTCTCTTTATTTTTCTTTCTGGGTCTTCATTTTCCTCTTTCTGCTTTTTCTCTTTGACCTTCAATTTTCCCTTTTCTTTTTTCTTCTCCTTCTCTTTTATTTTTTTTACCTTCCTGGCTTTGTTCTCCATGTCCTCTAGCTCAGCATGCCCCTGAGGGGCAGATTCACAATTCAGAGCCCCTTGGCCAGAGTGAGAGCTCTTATCAGACAGACCATCTGTACAGAGAGAAAAGAATCAATGTGCATGGTCAGCGGCACTTATGGTTATATATAAACGAAAGTCAAGATGCACAATCCAGAAGAACAGAAGCACTGCAGAGTTGCAGCCTTGCACATGACTACCCATGCACTTTGATGACAGGACTATATAGATCTGGTCATGCCAGGCAAGGACGGGTGCTGGCCTTCAGTCCATTGCTTGGTGATCATATGAAGGGCCTGAATGGTACAAAGCACTGATCTCTCTGGAAGCTGGCTTGTTAACCTGGATCAGCTCAGAAAGCTGCCATGCTGGGAAACAAACAGTGCCACTTTCCTTCCAGGAGAATTTTTCTTTTGAGTACAAATATAATCCAACTGCTCTACTCAATTAATGCAGTCAGTCCTCTGGTTGACACTGCTTTTAATGACTCATATAAAAATGTCAAGAAATGCATACTTAGTGCTAGTACCCCAAGGGTAAATGACAGTTGGTCCTTGTAGGAAAGCTAAGGAGAACATTTCTTTAGCATTTGCACTGTAAAATAAATTGCACATTGTGTTCTCCAATTCCATGTTCGTTAAGCCAAAGGGCAAAACATATCAGGAAAATGAATTACTTTTAATATCAAAAATATAATTGTGATCCTTAAATCATTTTCCTCTGTAGTTAAGCACACACTCTCGCCTGTGGTTCGCAGATGATAACAAGATGGAGAAGCCACTTCAGGGAGTACACAGCCTCACCAGCATCAAGCTCTTCCGGTCCGTCATAGGACTTGTCAATGGCTGCCCTGAAGCTCTCGTTGCAGCCCCGGCCTCGGACCATGTGCGGCCGGGGTCTGTGGAAAGGGAGTTCATTTTTTCTGACTTCGGCCACAGCAGTCTGCAGACTCTCCAAGGAACTGGACTTTTTCAATCCCAGAGTTGGGCCAAAGTCTTTGTTTGGGGATTCTGGAAAAGAAAGGGCAAGAGGTCACGCCTTCCATAATGGGGCAGTGTGATTCAGTGGAAATATTGGTCATTCTAAGGTCACTTCCTTTTGGATATTTTTAAAAATGCAGTGTCAAAATGAATAGGAATTGGGGGCTACATTCAAGCTTTGACAATTTTTTTGACCTTGAGCAAGTGATTTCATTTCTCTGAGCTTTGGTTTATTTCTTGTTTGGAAGGTGTGATAAGATTTGAGCTAAGAATATTTAAATATATCTTATACAGAGAAATGCATATGCATGCATAATATACACTATGTAGACACACACGTGCATTTAAAAGGCTGTCACTATCTACAGTTTCAGTACATATGAGAGTACACAGGTATACACATGTATACACATGTATACACACACACACACACACACACACACACACACACACACACAGAGAACATCTAGCATTAGGCCTGTCTTTCAGTACCCATCCAGGGCACACCTACATATTGAATGTTTTATTATTACCATGATTACTTATATGATTGTTATGACACACTGTATTTGAAAATCAAGAAACATTAACAATTGTAATTTTTTTATGTATTTGGTACAGGGTCTACAGAGGCTCACTTCAGAGATTGAACTCCTAAAGATTCTCCTGTTCTTAGCCTCCCAAGTGCTGGGATTATAGGTGTGTGCCACCACGCCTAGTCTCAGTTGCTGCCTCAGAGCGCCCCAGGGAAGGGGCCAGCGTGGCAGGCCAGGTGATCAAACCCTGGCCCTAGGCTCTGCCTAAGCAGGAGCTTTAGTCCGCTGAGCTATCTGGCTGGCCAACAATTATAATTTATCTAATGAAATACTTTACCCTGATGGCTATTAGTGTATAGTGAATAAAATTTATCTATTCTGCATGTAATAAAAAGGAATGAAATAAAAACCCTTTTCTGAGTTTGTAGGGTTTCACCGGAACCTGCATCCCTCTACTGTTTTTTACCCTATTTCCACCTGAGCTGGCCTCCCAACTATTAACAACAAGATTAGGCTACTTAAGTAGTAGCAATACAGAACTATTTAAAGATGGAAGAAATCCATCTTGGCTCTTGTTTTTCTTTTCCAAGCTATTTTACCAGGGCCAAAGTGCATGCTCTCCTCTAGGTACAAGGCAGATTACTGTCATCAAGACCACACTTGTATTTCTGGAACTAAAACTCCTGTGCAATTTTTTTTTTTCTTTTTGCAATACTGGGGATTGAACTCAGGATCCTGCACTTGCCAGGCAAGCATTTATTCTACTGAGCTATCTCCCCAGGCCCCACAATTTTTCAATAGATATAGATTGAGCATATATTAAGGATTTTGCTCCTGGAATTCTACTTCAGTGCCTTACACATTGGAAACTCCATAAACAGCATGGCTTTCATTATTGTTACCACTAGTATTGCTTCTACTACCACTGCCACTGTAAACACTACCACCAGTAGCCAAACATACTATTAGGTAATGCAGGGGTATAAGGAAAAGCGCAGCAAAGGCTTGAGATATCTATCTATCTATCTATCTATCTATCTATCTATCTATCTATCTATCTATCTATCTATCTCCACAAAGAGTTACATAGCACTATACATGCTTACAGCTGTTCTGAAATATGTTAAAAATGGTCAAAATAATGACAA